TATTTTTGATTGTGTAAAGCAATATTTTTAATTGTAATTTGAGATGTATTTTGATTTTATTTTTTAAAACTTATTTTATAATCATCTGTTGTTTGAAAACAGGAAGCACGTTCCAATTTTAGACTGCTATTGAGTGAATCATCTCAAAAAATAAATCAGTTAACCGGTAAATTAGGGTCTTGTATTGAGAAAGCTCGGCCATATTACGATGCTCGCATTAGAGCTAAAGAGGTAAGTTCTATATGAAAGCAATATTTGAATGTGANAACATAGCTGTGTTCTAATTTTTAACATTTAAACGATGTTGAATACAAAGATCGTTATGTATTACAACATATAATTAAAATATTTATAAATAAAGTTATAAATAAATACAATAATAATATATATGGTGCTAATATATAAAATAATATATATGGTGGTAATAATATATTCATTGTTAAAAGTTAGCCCGATGTTTTAATGTATAAACAATGTGCGATAGGGAAAAATTGTTCCCTTTACATCACCTAAAGCTAACTTCATACTAAAAAATCATAGTTATGCTTTGTGGCTTTGTAAATAATACTTCCACGATTGTGGAACTGGAATATAGTCAGAGTTAATGCAACCTCCCTTCATGCCCGCTATATAAATTTCAATAGCCTCCAACAAATGTAAGTTGTTCAGTCAAACACCCTGTGTAAAAGTGTAGCTTCATCCCAACAAGGAGAAATTCCAGGTTCAGTAGCATACTGGGCTAGTGCAGTATTATACTTCCCCTTGGACACATCATACTTGTAGTCTCGTATTCTAGCCTCTAGAGATCAATACGTGGACCCAATGTATGTTATACGACTATTGAAACGATTGTCTTGCAATGGAATGTGGTACACTCCTGGCGCTTTCTTGACCTCAGACTTGTCTTTTTCATTAGATAAGATTCGAAAAATGTTCTGTTTTCTCCTATAATTTAAGTGCAAGTTTAAATCCTTAGCAATTCTATTATAAATTTGTTGGAGGGACGGTTCGTAAGCTATAACCACCCGTGCTTGCATCATTAAGCCTCGTGTCGGTGGTAGTTATCGTAGATAGCTGGTTGGCAGCAAGCCTGTTTATTAAGGATTGGTGGTACCTGTGTGCAGATGCTATAGACTTGATGCATTTCAGTTTGTTGTGTGTATCGGAAGTGTCCTAGCAATGGGAGAAAGCCCTAGCAACTACGGCCCGGAAAGCCACTACCTTAAAAGGTCAAGGGTCAGCTGAAATCTGTTGTTCATTTGCTGGAATTATTGCTTAGGTGTGAAGTGGTTGTTTTAGTATATATTTCCAGTTTGTGTGCCAGTTTTTTATGTCCAATAAATCACTATCTAGACACACATATAACTTACAAAAATAAATATTTTATGCCAGAACATAATATGAAAAATTACTTTTTGTTTTTATGCATTAATGCAAGAATGAATTTTTCATATATTTTGACATACAGCTATATTTATTTTCATCAATTTTATCTAGTTTATAAAAATAAAAATATACACAAGCACTGCTGAATTTCATATTTTTTTTGCTCTGATAAGTTTTAAATGCAAAAGATTGAATAATATTTGAAGTGAATTAACATTTCAAATCATAATCAGAATAAACTTTCATATTTGAAAAACTTTTAATTTTAATTAATAATTTTTTTAAAACTATAATCACTGGAACAGTTTTAATTTATTCAATAAAAAACCTAAGGTTTGTAATAACTATGATTTCTTATCTTCTTGAATCTAACTTATGTATAATTGAATCTATCATTTCCATTTATAATATACACTACTTGACAATTGCTAGGGAACAGTGACATTTCCCATGAAATGCTTTTCAATGGCAACACAACTGCTTGAATCAACCTGCCTATTATACAATCCCTGCAATTTGCATAAAAGGTGTTCATCAGCAGTTGTTCTCAGTGCATGAATGTTTATATTATAGAATTTTGGTCTGGAATTAATAAAATTATTAATTCATCATTTATGTCATTGTTCTTCTGTAACTGCAATATGATCATGGATGAACTGTTGAACAACTTCAGAAGCTAGCAGAATCACTGAAGTTGCAGCAGTATTGGGTGTGTCTAAGTGTGATTTCCCAATTGAAAATAGCTTTTGGGTCCAGAGGAACAGCCTTATGTATGCACAGTGGTGGTCTGGAAAGGCACAAAACATTCCAAGAGAATAAGTATGAACCCCTTTTAGCAAAACAAAACAGTACTTCTATATCTCACATAACTGCCAACCTAGTAAATGCTTCAGGCACTTGGGTATCCCCTGAACTATATCACAGACTGAATGCTGTTGGTCTATACGCTTGGAACACACTTCATGGACTTCCCTTATCATCTTGTCATAGTTGTAAGGAACCAAGTCTGAGCTTTATTTTTTATTTTACTTTTATTTTGCTTTCATTATATTTTGTTTGGGGCTTATGTTTAGTTAAGACGAAGGTTTCCTCACCATTCACCTTAGTAACTTAAAAATAGAAGAAAAACCAACTCACCGACGAAAGAAAAGCGCCGTAGAAAAACTCGCGCACACTTGCGCTTCCCGAGCGGAAAAAAATAAGTCCGCACCGACGAAAAGGGGGGGGGAGACCCCACAACCCAGTTAGGAATCGCTAAACCTTAAAAGAATAAAGCATCCCGATAATTGTTAAAAAGAATAATGTAAAAGGTTAGCGAAGTATTGTCGGAAAATAATCTGCCAGATAAACAAGAAAAATTTAATGTTACAGATAAGTATGTAAATGAGGAGAGTGAGCTCATTCAGAATTGTGACGTCACCTCACACTATAAAGCCTCTAACTCAAGTGAAAACGAACGAGGTGAATTCCTGATAGCAACGAGCTTTGGTGAGCTTCGTAGCAGTGAACGAGAGAGGTGTCCGATAGGATTTTGAAGTTATTCGATTTGTGGATCGACGATTATAGAAAGTCTTGAGAGTTTGAGGAAATAGGTTCCTAGTATATTGAGGTGACGATTAGGATCTTTAATTTATAAGAATTATTGTTTATAAGTTAATTCTTTGATTTTGTCGAATTCCAAAGGGGAATAGAATTAAGTTAGAAATAGATTGATTTGAGTTTGTCGGATTGATTCTTGTTGAATTTCATTGAATAAATTATTGTTTGATTTTTACTAAATACTGTATATAGTTTATTACTAGAAGTTTAATTAAATATTTGATTTTGTTATTGACAAACTTTGTCATTATTTAATTCGGTGCACGCTTAAAGTCCAGGCCTGGCACACTAACGCGAATCCGCGTAAAGTACCCGTTAGGGAACGGCTATTTCCGGCACACAGTAGTGTCGATAATCGTTGGTAAGTCGGAAAAATAATATAGTACTTTACATAGTTACAGCAGAGTACAGTGTAGAGTGTAGAGAGCAGAGAGCATTGTGACTGAGAAAATCGACAGTGATCTAAGGGGATGTATTCAAATAAATCTTGTTCAGTATTGTATGCAATGCTGGATATTAGTTAGTATGGCAAGAATGGGAAACATGATACCACAACAAAGCATTCATGCAATTTAGAATTATGATCCTGGTGTGTCATACTTTGAGCAGGTATAAAGATTAATAGAAAAATAACAACTTTGCATCTTTTCAATAGAATCAGTTGTGGGAGAGTGGTATTATCACAAGATTTGGAAGATTGTGTTTGTCTTTCCGTGGAACAGAATCCAAACTTTGTATTTATAGACAACAATGCCCATCCACACACTGCTCAAGATGTTCAAGTACTGGAAAGTGAAGTACATCCAACACATGAAATTGCCTGCATATTCCTTGGATCTCAACCCAACAGAACTTGCCTAGGAACTTATTAACTCCTATAAAAACTGCACTTGTACAACTACCAATCCTACAACCATCATATGCAGTAAAAATTTTCTTTATTCATTTTTAATCATATTAAATGATCTTTAAGAAATCTTATTTGCCTAGGAATACTCAGATGTTTTCCACAGAGAAAACTACCATCTGGGACTCTTCAGGATCTTAAAACAGCCTTAAAGGAAGACATCTCAACCATACTCCTAAACAGTCTTGTGTACAGTATGCCAAACAAGTGCAAATCATGTGCTGTTTGAGGTACACTATACTAATTTTGTCGAATCTGCAGTATTAATATGGGCCAAAACATTTACTGTTATGACACCACAATGCTCTATATGCAACACTTCTTGTTTTTGTTGTCCTGTTCTTTCCATAGCAAGGAATGCCTGCCATTTCATGTTAACAGCAACGATCATAATGCCTCTATTTAAATATAATATGGAGTTCTTCCTTTAGCATTGCCCACTAATGATTATGCCAAAAATTGGCACTGTTCCCTAGCAATTGTCAAGCAACATATATAACTGTGTGTCAATGAAACATAACTTATAAAAAATTTAAATACAAAAACCTAATAATATAAAACAGAAACTATACCTTCCAATATTTATTATTAATTTAAATAATAAATATTGGAAAGTATATTTTCTATTTCATATTATTATGCAGACTGAAGAAGAGAGAACTGTGATAAAATAGCTTTATCATCAAATACTCTCTGCATTAAATCAATTTTTAAACATGCACTATTTATACTTATTTATAAATTATAAAATAAATATTGTTATAATGCAAATGTTACTTAACATTAAATTTATTGTGGTGACTGATGCTATTTCTAAACAATTAAGTTATAAGCTATAGTATGACAAACTCAATTTAAGAAAAATTTTAATGTTTAAATTAAAATACCTCTTTTGAAATATTCAAAAATGATTCTGTACATTATTAGATATAAATATATATTTTTGAGATTTCACTGCAGTCTTACATATGTAACAAAATAAAATAATTGGCAGTGTAAGAAATAATATAATGAAAGTGTAAATAATTTGCAATTAAAAACAACACAAAATAAAACACAAATTAATATAAAATCTGAAATGTAATTAAAGATTTAGTTTACAACAAACCTTGATTTTACAATAGCTCTCTTTAGTTCTTGATGTAAATGTAAAACCATTTGCTCAGCTTCATTGTAAGCAAGTGACGTTTCTTGATGCTCTCTCTCACTTCTAACTCTTTCAATTTCTGCTTCATTAACCTGACAAGAAAAACAAATTTAAATATTGAAAAATGTTATATGTTTATTATTATTAAAATATCTAATAATTGTATTTTACCCTTTTGGTTGCATGATTAAGCATCTCTTGCCATGCGGGATCAAATGTCCTTCCTTCTTTTTGCAAACCTTCTTCTGCCAAATGAACCATTTCTTTAGCTACAGTATGAGCACTGCTTGCTCTTTCATAACGTAGGGCAGCTTTCTGTGATTCTGCCTGAATCTGAAAATTGATAAAAACTATATTTAAAAATTTTTAATTTATGATATCACATTCAAATATTGCTTTCATATAGAACTTACCTCTTTAGCTCTAATGCGAGCATCGTAATATGGCCGAGCTTTCTCAATACAAGACCCTAATTTACCGGTTAACTGATTTATTTTTTGAGATGATTCACTCAATAGCAGTCTAAAATTGGAACGTGCTTCCTGTTTTCAAACAACAGATGATTATAAAATAAGTTTTAAAAAATAAAATCAAAATACATCTCAAATTACAATTAAAAATATTGCTTTACACAATCAAAAATATTTTTACTTTTCTTATTTATAATATTTTTATATTAGAGACTCCACAAAAATCAAAAATTAAGACTTGATTATTTATTTAAATTCAATTTTGTTCAAATTAAAAATAATCTGGAAAAAGCTGGATTTGGACCAACATTCTGTAGATTTAAGCCAGGAAAATAAATAAAAGGTTCAGAAATATAACTTCTTTGATTAATGTACTACAGAACATCTAAGCAAGAGTCACACTATCATACAAACAAAATGAATGATAAAGACAAATGTTGTTTGCTTTGTGCTACATGACAAACTGAATTAGAATGTGAATGGTTGAAATTATTTCAAACATTAGCCGTGAAAAGTTGATTTGTCAAACAAACAGAAGTTTGACAAAAGTTGAGATATTTCTAACTCCTAACAAACTGGGAACAGTTGCCGAAAGGGGACAAGCTGGCAGTTTGTATCTACTTCATAGTGGCTTGTATGCCAATGTGTACCTTGCTTAAAATTCAGAAGTAATTTATTATTTTTTTTTTTATTTTATAAATTTAACTTTTTAGAATTAAACTTTTATCCTCAAATTCTCCAAATGGGAAATAGAGAAATGCATTTAAATAGAATATTTTTAAAATATTTATTAGGTAAATATAGCTTAAAACATTGATATATTTTAATATCTGGTGTGGTAGCTGATGAATACATAGATTTAGTATGTGTCTCTTTAATCCGAATTAGTAAAAACAGTAGACTTTCTCTCAGCTAAATAGCTGAGAGAAAGTCTACTGTTTTTACTAATTCGGATTAAAGAGACACATACTAAATCTATGTATTCATCAGCTACCACACCAGATATTAAAATATATCAATGTTTTAAGCTATATTTACCTAATAAATATTTTAAAAATATTCTATTTAAATGCATTTCTCTATTTCCCATTTGGANTCAAAAGAAAAAAAAAAAAAATTTTTAGAGCAGAGACAAATGCCAGATAGTAGCTTGGCATGATACCATTTTTCCACCCATTCCATTTCGGTTTTATTATTCATTTAATCAGTAGAAGTATAAACCTTTCTATTCATAACTTTTTCAATAATTTAAAGAATGAATGAATTTGTCATCAAAGTCAATATTAAACAGAAATAAAATCACTCTGTATAAAAGTTCAGCCAAGTACGAACATCTAATCTCTTCCAAATTTTAAATACTTAAAAGTGTAACTTTGAAGTAGTATGTTTGGTAATTAGCATGTCTTTACCTAAAAATATGACATTATTTGACTATTGTATAGAGTTAAAAAAAGAATAACGATTAAATTTTGAATAAACAATTAATATTTGATTAATAATTAAATGATTGGTAATTAATTTAAGTAATTTTTTTTTGGTTTTACATCAAAATTTTCATGTTTTTTCTGATTATTTTATCAATGTATTGTCAAGTTGATGAGCATATGTGTACTCTCCCAATCAATATGGCTTGGAAGCTATTTACGTGCCAGTTGTAATAAATTAAATATTTATTTGAATGACATTTAAAAATTAATTAAATACACACTTACATCCAATTCAATTTCCAATCTATTTATTAAATCTGTTGCAGTATTAAGTCTTTCTAATTCTATCTGAAATATAATGAAATATAATTTAAAATAAAATACTTGTAATTAAATATTTAATCAGAATTACAAACAAAATTAACTTTAAAATGATTTTCATAAATCATTAGTAAAGTTCTAAATCATCTTTAAGTAGAGTCATTAATAGAAATAAAAGAATATATTACATTAAAACTTATAATCATATTTAGATTGATATTAATGTTTATTATATTTTATATGACTAGAAGTAACTTTTTTATTTACAAATAAACCTTATAAAACAATAGTACGTTAAGCTCGAGCCTTAAGTTTCTCAGAGCTTTAATGATATTAATTTCCTTGTGTTCACCAGACAATATCAAAAAGGCACCTATTCTATGATTAAACAATTAAATATCTTCCCTTAGAATTTTTTTACTTTTTTGAGTTTGGGTTCTCAAACTTGCAAATAACCCAGAGGATTAAATTTGACACAATTACAACACTTTCCTGTGTTACATTGTAACAGCCAGAAAAGCAACAGTGTATGGCACCATCTGTTATGAGATTTTATGAAACAATAATTTTATATTACTAATTATTATAAAAAGGCAAAAGGCTCATTTTTTAGGGTAGAGATGAGTTTCTAAAAAGAGCTTAAACTCACACTAGTGAAATTTTCATTAAGTCTTACCCTATCCAAGATATGACCCTCCATCTCCCCACCCCAAGTTCCATACTACAAAATTTAATAGCATCAATGCCCCTTTATATACAAGTTACCATGCCAAATTTCATTTCTTATCTTTACCTCATCCTGAGATATTAAACAAAATAGATGCCAACATACAAATACATGGAATTTTATCCTTTTTTATTTATTTATTTATTTATTCAAGAGGCCTCAAAATGTCAAAATTTACAAAAAATCTAGAGGGTCAAATTTGACATAATTACAATACTTTTCCATGCTATATACATAACAGCCAAGAAGTACCTTACAGTTCTTATAAAGTTGATGTAAATAAGTCCACTTACAATTTGTTTCTAATTTAATTAAAATATATAACTATTAAGTTATTTTGTATTACAATCACTATGTATTTTTCAAATGATTTCTTTCCAATTGGATCAATATAAGACAGAAAAATGACAAAATGAATTACAAACAACATTCCTGAAATTCTAATTTAAGTAATGAAATTCAATTTCTTCAAAGCATACTCCAAATAAATTGAATTTCATTACTTAAATTAGAATTTCATTTATGTCTTGACTAAAAAAACAATATATTATGTCAAATATGAGTTGTTAAATTCAAACTACTATTTTTGAATTTGATAATCTTATTAGATTTAATCTTTATATTTATTTATATTGCATATAAAATATTAATGCAAGTAATTTTCCTAATCTACCAAAATAGAAGTAATTAAAAACTGATAAATAATATTCATACAATTTATTTTGTAAGCATAAATCAGCAATTTTGTTTATAAAGATGCATTTTTAAAAATATTAATCAATTCCTCCTCCTACTCCTTTCTTTTCTTCTTAGCATAGATGCTTTTCTGCTTCTCCCACTTCCAATCTTCTTTCTTTTCAATATTCCTTTCCACACGGACCTCCCGTACTTTCTAATTCTTATCTACCCCATACTTCTACATTACAAGATACCTCAGTGTCTCTCAATTCGTCATTCAGACCAACATCTAACGTTTGGTCTAAAACAGTAGGTTTTCCCAATTGAGGAGGGTCTTCCTCTAACACAGTCTCATCGTAATTGAGCTTTTCACTTTTGTAACCTGGAAAATTGCTCATGATGCTTCTTGATGTGTAGAAAGCAAAAAATGAACTCATATAAATACAAGTATACCTCACCTTACGTCGATAATTGGTTCCAGGAGAGGCAACTTAAGTCGAAAAACAACGTAAGTCGAATTTACTTGTCTCCAAATTTACTTGTCACTAGGCTAAACCACAAATAATCATTCCCAGTTCTGTATTTTATTTATAAATGCATTTTTAATAATATATGGTTAATAAGAATCTATTTTAAGCTTACAAACAAATAAATTTTATTTTTAATGTAGTACAGAAAAAAAAGTAATCTAAATTTATGAATACATGTATGTACAGTACATACATGTAAATGCACATGTTTACAATTTGGTGATGTTTACAGTACATCTCGGACTCTTTATTTCTGAATATGGTTTCTCTACGACATTATAAAATAAGATGATTTTTAAATACAGTTATTAAAATTATTTTACAATAGAAAAGATTTATGTTAAATTTACCAATATTGAGTGGCACTGACAACTATGCTAAATCGTAGATATTGGAACTACCATGGAAAACGCCAATAATGAGCACTTAAAGACTGCTAAATAAGATGACAACACAAACACAGATGTTTTCATGTTTCGTTCTCTAGGATTTATGATGATTATATTAACATTTACTGTAAATGTACATATTTTAACATTATTTTATGTGCTTTTAATGTTTTTCTAGTGATATCATGACTTCAATATTTATGGCGGATGGACGTAAAGCCAAATAAAATAACTTAAACTTGATTTTTATTTTTCCATTTACTACTTTTTTGACAAACAACGTATAATCGAGAACAACTTAACTCAAGGTATACCTGTACATTAATTCAATTTTAATAAATATGAAGCATGACTATTGTCCATTATTGTCAGGGAGGATGGCAAATGCCCCTACATATTACCATTTCTGTATAATTGATGTGGTTTCTTTGTAGCTATTATGTTGGCTAATGTCCTCCTGCTCAAAATGGGTTTACTGTACAACAAGAACTGCATATATTAATACATAAGGTCCTTTCTTTATCCATAGAAGCATGACAAATTCCCAAAAAATGGAAAATGTAAGAACCAAATGATTACATCAGCAGCTTATAATACTAGACCAGTGGTTTCCAAAGTGTGCGCCACAGCTTCCTCCCAGAGGTGCCACAAAACGTTATAAAATTTTTATAATTTTACTTAATTTAAAAAAATATTGCCTATTTTGCAAATTGTTAGAATTCGACATAGGGGCCTTGGAAAAATCTGGATTTAGCAAGGGTGCCGAGAATCAAAAAAGTTTGGAAACCACTGTACTAGACTATGATTATTTTACAACAGGGATCAGAACGCGACACATTTCAGATGCACCCTCTAGAACCATCATTCAGGCACAAATATAGATACTTGTAATTTTATTTCATTTGATTTTGTGTTATTTTATGTATGTGCTTTTAATTTTCCTTTTTTAGTTATTACAGGCAGGTATAACAAATATATATACAGTATTTCAAAACATAATTATTTTGTTAATTTATTGATATTACAACAACATTGAAGTTTTTTTTCAAAAGTTAAACTATCTCAACAAATTTTAAAATTTTTATTGTGCCCTTAGGAACAAAAAGTTTGCCGACCCATTGTACATTATTAAAAACAATTTTATGTAAGGTATTTTGAATAGCATGTCAAGTTACAGGGAATAAAAGCATTTATATAATGAAAAAAAATTTAATATCAAGAATTTAAATACTATTAAATTAACATTGAAGTCATAATTTCAAATAAATTATGACTTCAAAACCAAAGTAGTATGAAGATTTTTAAAACATTTGTAAAGTTCTTACATCTCAAAAATCAAATATAAAAGCCACTTCTGATATATTTTTAAAAATGCTAAATTAATTTTGAAGTGATAAAATATATTTAATATATAAATGTAATAGAATTAAATTTAAAAAGAAATATATATAATTTTAAATTACAGTTTGATTGTGTCAAGACATTATGCCATTACTTAAGAAAATTATTAAATTCCAAGCACACAGACAATTCCTATTGATTTATTATTGTTACAACCTGTCTTCCAATTCGATAATGTTTAACCTCTACAGTGTCATAAAATAATAAATCTTGTCATACATCTTATGCTCTTTCAGTCATAAAATTTTACAAGTTTAAAATTTGGCATTAAAATCAATCAAGCATTCTTTTCTTATCTAATTTAACTTTAAACTTTTGACCTTTAGAGTTAAAAATATTTGTTTATTTCCTTCACTTCATCTCAGACTTATTTGAATAATAAAATTCTTTGTTAAAAAATCTGTAAAATATTTTTAAATAGTCCTGTATAATTTATAAATATGATTATAAACAGTTCTATAGCTCTTTAAGCTTTAATATTTTTAAGGAAAAAAAAAAACATGAATAGTTTCATTTCTTTTAAATTTTCTCAATCATGTAATAATGTTCCTGGTAATAAGGAAAGAAAATCAATAAAATAATGAGCAAGGTAAATGGTAAATCAATTTACTCGAATAAAAGGCATTAATAATATATTAATCATAAATATTTTGTTCTATTTTCTCTGTTCATTTGCTTTATTTCAAAATAAATTATTTTATTCAGAGACAAAAATCGAATTCTACATTCATTCTTGCATCAAAAATATCATTCACTACAAAATTGTAAATTCTCATATTTATTTTGTAAAAATTAATACATGATTATTTGTACAATTAAAGTATAGAGTTGTTTTAAATCTTAGTAATTAAAAATTTTATTAAAGACTAAGACAAAAATAATTACATATGTATGTAGGCTACAGTACATTCAGGGCTTCCAAATGAATGATACCATTTTAAATTATTGTAATTATGTTAATTATTATCTGAGAAGTATATGACATAAGCCAATCGATAGAATAACTATCCAAGTTTCATTTCCCATCTGCACTTAAACACCTTGTCTACTACTTCTAGGAAGCAGGTAGACAAAAATGGTTACTCTACAACAGAGAAGGCATTTTGTGTTCTGCAGTTGGCAAAATTGGAATTGCTCGTCATTGTGCAACACGAGTAATTTGTGGGAGCCTTAGAATTGTGACTGCTGTGGGAAGACTGACGACAGATATGCCCTAGTGAGCTTAGGAAGAATATGAGTATTGGTTGGTTGGATTTGTGCCATGTGACATGAGGTGTACACATTGAGAAATTATAATGGGCA